TTTTTTTTTTTTTTTTTTTTTTTTTTTCTTCTATTTCTTAAACTGAGAAATATTAAATTCAATTACATAAAAAATAAAACATGCATTTTTTTTTTTAATTTTATAAATAATTAATATAACATTTAAATTAATTATTTCTACAATTTTTCGATTTTTCGATTTTTTTTTTTATAAGAAAAATATATTTATAAATATCTTTTAAATAAAATACAACATTATCTTATTTCTTTTTTAAAGACACTTTTATTCTAATTAAAAATACTAACCCTCTTTTTTACAGAAACTTACTTTTTTTTCAATTTATCATAAATTTAAAGATATTTCTTTTATAATATAAAATTGAAGAATATAAATATATATATCTTCAGATTGAAAAATTAAGAATTTTTTTTGTAAAATTTTGTAACATTCTTAAAAAAAATAAAAATCAAAGGCATAAGAAGAAAATTATAACAAAAACAAATGAATAAATAAATATAAAAAAGAATTCTATATGTTTTACTAATAGATATATGAAAATTTTTTTTTTATATCTTAATATAAAATGTTTATTATTATTTATTTTTTTTAAATTATAAATATAATCAAAAAATTTATATAATTACATACAATAAAAATAGAATATAAAATTTTATTTATTTTTAAATTTAAAATTCATTAAATATAAAGATAAAAAAACAAAAATCATGTATTCTATAATTGTAAATACATTTTTAAATATTTATTTTCTTTTTTATTTTTATAATAGATTTTATTAAAAGTATTATCACCATATATTCATATAATTTTTCTTTTTTTTTTTTCCTTTAAAAGTAAGCATAAATAATCTAAAAGATGAAAAATAATTAAAACCAAACCAAGTTAAATCCAATAAATAATATATCAAAATTAACTATTTCTATATATATATATATATGTAAGATCTATAATTTGTAATATATTTATTGTTTTTAATAGAACTATTTATAAAAGTTTAATTACATTTAGAATTTAATGAATATCATAAATTAATTACAAAAAAGATTAATAAATATTAAATGTATAATTAGAAAGATATTCTTTATTCTTGTGACTATTTTATTTCAGTTTTTTTCATAAGATTGTTCTATATATATATATATATATATATATATATATTAATGAAATTCTACAATTTATGAATAAAGATTTTTAAAAAGAATTAATACTTTGAATTTTTATTTTTTTATTAATTTGGATAAGATATCTTTAAATACACTTCATAATTTAAAAAAAAAAAAATTAATATAGTTTTATTTTCATTTCTTCAAAAATTAGATGGCAATGTAATTATATAAAAATAAGATGTACTCTTTTTTAGTTTATATCAATTTTACAAGTTTTCTTTTTTATTTATATAAAGAAAATTTTTTTAAAAAAGGTGTAAAATAATTTGTAGAATTTATTTTTTTTTCTTCTTACATTTACATAAATATAGAAAATCATGAAATCTTTGATAAATTTATTTTTGGTATATTTATTTTAGATGTTTTCATAATTTTTCCATTTATTTTAAGCATTTCATAAATATCTTTATCAGATCCCTTTTTCTTATTATCATTTATTCTATTTTTTTTTTTTAATTCTTTATTTAATAAATTTATTTCTTTTTTCTCCTCCTCTTCCTTTTGTTCTTTTTGTTCTTTTTCTGAGTTTAATTTTTGATATTTTTTATTCTTTGTTATTACACTTTTTTTCTCATTACCTTTTAGATTATTCTCTTTTTTTATATTTGACGTATTTTTTTTCTTATTATCCAAAGGTTTATTTTGAATACTACTTTTATTAAATAATTCTAAATCAAAAGTGTTTTCTATAAAAATACATTCTTTCTTATTTTCATGTCTACCATTATATTTATGAGTATTATTATTATTATTTTCAAAATTAAAAAAGAAATTATCTAAAATTTTTATTTTATCTAAATTTTTATGATTTTTTTTTTGTTTTTTTATTCTTATATTTTCATTATCATTTAAGTTTAATTTTAAACTTTTTAAGTGATTATCTTTAACAGAAAAACTACTTATAGTACTATTATATATATCAAATATTCTGAAACTTAAATTAGTTTTTGCTGTATCTGGTATTTCAATCTCATTTTGATCTATTATATACTTCTCTGGTGAACATGCATATAGACAATTGGAATAATAATCTTTTAATGAATTCATAATAAAAAAAAAAAATAAATTCTATAATGATATCTTATCTTTTTTTTTTTTTTTTTTTTTTTTTTTTT